CTTCTATTGAGTCTTATCTCTTGCAAAGTTCACCAGACCTACTTGCTCTTTGTGAGACTAATTTGAGTTCGGCTGTCCCATCTTGTGATCTTAGTGTTGATGGTTATCTTCCTTTAATTCGTAAAGACTCCAATAATCACATGCTTGGCCTGGGCATCTACATTCGTAAGAACTCACCTATTTGTCGTGAAACTAGGTTCGAATCTACAGACTATTCATTTATGTGCTTTCGTTTAGCACAACTTCACTCTATCGCCTTTCTCTTTGTTCTATATCGCTCTCCTTCATCCCAAGATTGCACTATTCTTGATGTTATTTCTGATCAAATTGACCAAGCCCTCTCTCTTTATCCATCGGCCAATATCGTCGTTGTTGGTGACTTTAATGCCCATCACACCGATTGGCTTGGCTCTAGTGTCAGTGACTCTGCTGGCGTTAAGGCCCTCAACTTTTGCCTTTCTCAATCTCTAACTCAAATAGTCAACTTTCCAACTCGTTTTCCAGACAACCCTAATCATTTACCTTCTCTACTCGACTTATGTCTTGTTTTGGATCCTAGTCAGTGCTCAATTTCTCCACATTCACCCTTAGGTACTTCTGATCACGGTTTGATCTCTCTAAAACTATTATCAAATTCTTCTAGTTCATCAGAATCCCCCTATCATCGTACCACATACAACTACCTTAAAGCTGACTGGGACTCTTTCCGTGATTTTCTTCGTGATGGCCCTTGGGTAGAAATCTTTTGTCTTCCTGCTGACAAATGTGCTTCTTACATAACTTCGTGGATTCAGGCTGGCATGGAATCTTTTATTCCCTCTCGACGATTCCAGGTCAAGCCTCACTCTTCTCCTTGGTTTTCCTCACATTGCGCTGCAGCAATTTCTAATCGAAACCGTTACTTCCATATCTATCAGCAAAACAATTCTCCAGAAAACAGACATCTGTTCACTATCGCCAGAAACCATTGTAAAAAGGTTTTGTCTGACGCCAAAGCTCGCTATTCCCAGGTCATTAAATCTCGTATCTCATCACAAAAATTAGGCTCTCGAGACTTCTGGAGAATCTTTAACAGTATCAATAATAAGGGCAAATCTGTTATTCCTTCTCTCTTGTATGGTTCAAACTTTGTCACCTCACCTAAAGACAAAGCTGAATTGTTTGCTAAGAACTTTTCATCAATATCATCTCTTGATTCCACTAGTTGCGTTTTACCTGACATAGCCGTCAAACAGGTTGATCCCTTGCTTGACATTCGCATCACTTCAGCTTCTGTATCTAAAGTAATTTCCTGCTTAGACTCTTCAACAGCTTGTGGTCCTGACAACATTCCTGTTGTAGTCTTGCAGAGGTGTTCTCCGGAGCTTTCATCCATACTTTCTAAACTATTTAACAAGTGCTTATCAGAGTCTTGTTTTCCATCATGCTGGAAAGCAGCATCTGTTATCCCTATTTTCAAAAATTCCGGAGAGCGATCTGATTCATCTAACTACCGTCCCATTAGTCTTCTTCCTGTCATAAGCAAGGTTTTTGAATCTTTAATCAACAAACACTTAATCTCTCATCTTGAATCAAATAACTTACTTTCTGATCATCAATATGGATTTCGATCTTCTCGTTCTACAGCTGATGTGCTAACAGTAATAACCGATAGGTTTTACCGTGCATTAGATAGAGGTGGAGAGGTTAAGGCTATCGCACTTGACATTTCTAAAGCTTTTGATAAAGTTTGGCATGCTGGTCTTCTCCATAAGCTTTCTTCTTATGGTGTAGCTGGTAACGTCTTTAAGATTATTGAGTCCTTTCTTTCCAACCGTAGTATAAAAGTTGTCCTTGATGGACAACACTCTTCTTCACATCCTGTAACTTCAGGGGTTCCTCAAGGTTCAATCCTTGGCCCTATACTCTTTTTAATTTACATTAACGATCTTCCAGATATTCTCACATCTAAGGTGGCATTATTCGCTGACGACACTACCATTTACTCTTGTCATGATAAGAAGCCTACACTCTCTGATTGCTTGGAGGGGGTATCTGAGCTTGAAAAGGATCTCACTTCTGCTACAGCATGGGGCTCACAGTGGCTGGTGAACTTTAATTCAGATAAAACTCAATTTTATTCGGCCAATCGTTATCGTAATAATTTAGATCTTCCTATATTTATGAATGGTAATGTACTAGATGAGTCATCTACCATTCATCTTCTAGGATTAACTCTTACTTCTGATCTTTCTTTTAAACCGTATATCAAATCCATTGCAAAATTAGCATCTGCTAAGGTTGCATCTCTTTATCGAGCTCGACACTTTCTTACTCCAGATTCTATTCTCTATCTCTATAAATCTCAAATCCGTCCCTGTATGGAATACTGTTGCCACATCTGGGGCGGATCTTCTAATGATGCTCTTTCTCTTTTAGACAAGGTGCAAAAACGAATTGTAAACATAGTTGGACCTGCTCTGGCAGCCAATCTCCAACCTTTGTCACATCGTCGTAATGTTGCTTCTCTTTCTCTTTTCTACAAATACTATAATGGGCACTGCTCTAAAGAGCTAGCGTCCCTTGTGCCATCTACTAAAATTCATTCTCGTGTTACTCGCCATTCAATTAAGTCTCATCCTTTTTCTGTGACTGTTCCTAAGTGCTTCAAAAACTCTTATTCTTCTAGTTTTTTTCCTCGAACATCAGTTCTTTGGAATTCGCTTCCTTCATCTTGCTTTCCTGATTCATATAATTTGCAATCTTTTAAGTCATCAGTCAATCGTTATCTTGCTCTACAGATTTAGTCTTTTCTCTTCCAGTAACTTCCAACTCTTATAGTGGTTGCTTGCAGCCTTGTTGGAAGTGAAGATGTTAAAAAAAAAAAAAAAAAAAAAAAAAAATATATATATATATATATATATATTTATATATATATATATATATATATATATATATATATATATATATATATATATATATATATATATATATATATATATATTACATGTTGCACTGCTAAAGTATACAAAATTAGTCAATTTTAAATCTATTTTTATTAACTAATGAGTATTGATATAATATTGACAATAATATGTCTTATACTGCTGAGTTAGGTGAGCATGATGACCTAACATCACCTAACTCACCTAACTCACCTAACATCAAATCGCCTGCTGCTGGGGGCTTCAGTACATACATGGACTGACAAATAGCCTGACTCGCAGTGGAGTGCTGCTACATCGACTGAGGGTTTGGTATGGGTCAGCAACCTTTTCATTCATTATTCTTCGTTTTCCCTCATTGTTTTCTAAAAACGCTCACTTAATTTAGGCTAGCAAAAAAAGTGAGCAATTGCGCATATAAATATACTATAGTAGATATATATATAATATTAAAAGTTCATAAAAATAAATTAAAAATGTATTAAAATAAAGTTAATTTATTTAAGTTATGTTAATGGTAATTTTATTAGTTAATGATTTTTTCATAAAATAAAATGCATTTTTTAAAAATATTATTTTCACTATATAAATTTAATTGGAAAAACTAAATTAATTTGCTCTGGAAATGAATATGCCATCATTAATTTAATGTTAGTCAGATCTTTTCATTTTCTTAAAAAAAAAATTTTAGGAAAAGAACTTTTGCAATTTAATGTGTAAATTAAACAAGTTACAGCAATTTTTCATTCATGTTCAAATGTATTAAATCTTATGTTTTTACTCTTATTGTTTTAAATTGAAGAACATTTTTCTAAAAAAATCCCTGGTTTATTTTTTCAGCCAAGTTCAGAATTGAACATTCAAGTTCTTTATTGAAAAAGGTACAAGTCTAACTATTTTAGTATGAAAAAAAAAAATTGTTCATCATTTTTTTCTACAATTACAAAATTATTGAGATTCAAAAAATAATTCATCTAATTTTTTTTTTCTCAAAACATGTAAAATGTGACTTGGCTCTTTTTAGAAAAACATTCAATTATGATGCTTATTCAAAGTACATTTTAATTTTGAGTTTGTGTACTGTAAGTTAAAGCTGTGTTAATTTAATTAAATGTTCTGGCTCTTTTACTAAACTTTTTATTGTTGAAAAGATGCATTTTTCAACTGAAAATAATTTTTGAAGATAATTTCAATAATACAAGTTTTTTTTTTTATATTCAAGAAAATTAGAAATTTCTTTTTAAAAATTGAATTGAAATCAAAATTGTGTAAAAAAAAAAAAAAATTGATTTAACCGAAAAATGAAAAAGAATAGAATATATGGTTGCTATGGTGAGTTTGTGTAGGTTTATGGTTGCTATGGTGAGTATGTGTGAGTTGATGTCTTGATTGAGTACTTTTCAAGTTTAAATATTATATATTACAATAGTAATAAAAAGTGTTTGTTTTTATTTTTTATTTAAATTCAACTATCAATTTGTGTTTTTTACACCTCTATTACATTATTAGGTGTCTTAAGAGGCATTTTGTTAATTCTTGCATTGAAATTGCTTTATTAAGTCATCTCATTCAAATGCGCTATTAATATTTTCAAATAACTTAAGATTTAAAAAAAAAAAATTTATGTCTGAATATAATGTTTAGCACCCTTCCCCAGTTTTTCGTTGTGTTGTCTTGAACATTAAGTCTTGTTCCTTGTCTCAGTTTTAAACTTTATGTCTTAATGTCTTGACTATATCACTGTTAATAACATATTACTAAAATAGGTATAGTGAGGGGTGGGGGTGAGGCAAAGCTTACTTTGAAAATTAAACACTCTTTACTAAATATATTACATGTGTTCATATATGAACATGTTCATTTATTATTTTAAATTTTTTTTATGTTTAAAATTTTTTTTCAATTTCAGGCTTTTCAAAAAGAACTGGAAAATTATCTTGCTGCTAGTATTCCAGAAACATTATCTAAGTATTCTGCAGCAAATAGTCAAATTTGGGTTCTTGAACAAAAGCTTCATGAAATAAATGATAGATATTGGCGATTGTTAAGAGAACTATCTTTCAAAGAAAATTTAATAGTTGATGCAATTAACAAGCACGAAGATTTTACTTTAAAACTTCAATCTTTTATGCCATGGCTTCTTGAAGCTGAACATTTTCTTTCTCAAGAAGTTCAGAAATCTGTTTTTTCTGATGAGCAAAATATTTATTTAAAAATAAAAATATTAGAGGTTTTCCTTTGTTATTATTTTTTTTTATCAGTCTAAAAAAGGTTTTAAATAAATTTAATGCCAAACTTTTATTATAACAAATAAAATTTTTAAACTTGTTTTCAGAAGTTTCAGAGTGATGTGCATTTTCATCATGATGAATTAGTAAGCATACAAATATCATCTGATATTTTGTCTGGAACTGAAAAGTATAATTTAAATAGAGTGAAGAATGATGAATCACAAAGTAAATTTTATTTTTATTTTTAACAGATTTAATATTATGAGTAAAATTTCAAAAGGTGTTAAGTCCCTTCTAATTGGTTTTGAGAAATTAATAAAAAACTGGACTTCTTATAGACAACAATAGAAATTTATATTTTTTCTATATATTATTAGGACCAAGAGTCTATTATTAGATCTAATATTTAAATAAGTGATAGATTTCAGTATATAAAATTTGAAAATATAATAAACTCAAAATTTTTTATTTTTGTGACTTAGCACATTTCAAAATTTCACTCATATAGAATCAAAACCCAATTGAATATATAAATATACATGTACTCACATTTTCAGCTCTTTCTCCACATGCATATATATATATATATATATATATATATATATATATATATATATATATATATATATATATATATATATATATATATATATATATATATGCATGTGGTTAGACCTTTAAATTTACCGTTTGTTGTAAAAAAAAAAACAGATCTTAAAAACTCTTTGTCTTTAAAAATGACATAATCAAGTACACTTTATGTAAAATCCATTAATTTTAATTGAAGAAACTCATTAAATTTCATCATTTTTTAAAAAAACACAAAAATGCAGATTAGTTGACTAGAATATTTTTTTTTATAAAAATGAAAACATTCTGAATTTTTTTATTTTTATTTTTTACTGTTTACATGCATCAACTGAAAAATAGGTAGAACATGTGAGGAGTGCTACTTCATTGACTGACAAACAGGTAGACATGCAAGGAGTGCTAGAATATTTATTGGCAAATAGGTAGAATATTCAAGGAGTGCTGCTACATCCTCTGAGGTTTTTGTTGGGAAGACAATCTATCAAATAAAAAAAAAAATTTAAGTTTTTTTAATGTGCTTTTGATTTAAAATATTAAAAAAAAATTATAAAAGAATGTTTTTTATAATATATTTATCAAAATAAAAAATAGTATATGGCAATTCAAATTGTTTACCATTAAGTTCTTTGCAGTTTTTAAACAAACCATCATGTTTTTGCAGACTCTTATACACATCTCTATCTCTACACACATTTTAATCTGCTTACAAAGTTCACCAATTGCAGTGGGTTTGTCCTTATATACAATATTCTTTAAGTAGCTCCAAAGTAGAAAGGTTGAGAGAATGAGCAAGCTAACTTCTTACTTGGCACAAATAATGGGCTAATGGGCTAATGGCCTATCTTAATTTTAGGCTATAAAAATGTTTTCATATTATTTATAAATATGCCAAATAAATGTGGGTCAATTAGACCACTCAAAGTTATTTCACACCACACCATTACTCCATTCTTTGAGTTGGGTACAGATATTTGTTTGTACTGAATAGTGTAGACCCAATAGCAAAAAAATTATGATGGTTTATAATACCATTCAGCGTGAATTGGCTTTGGTCTGACCAAATAGTTTTGTTTAGTAAATTTCTTCAATTTTTAACATATCACAAAACTCCATTCTTTTGTCAAAATCATCTTCACTTAACTATTTTACTGTACTTTGTCTGAATGGTTGAAAGCCTATTTTTTGAATAGCACAATAATAGCTGCTCGTGCTCATATCAATTTCAAAAATGCTCTTTTGAATTGACAAATTGTCAGTTTTTTTGACAATTTTTCTTCATTTCTCTCTAACAAGAATGAAATTTGCCGGATCTTTCTGGATCTTGAACACTGCCTGTCTTCCTAAACCTGTCAATCAAATTTTTAATTGTCTTCTCATGTGGTGACAGAGTGGTAAAATAATTTTTCCATTCCTTCTAACCTCTTGAAATATTTCAAAATAGTTTGAATTCTCTCTTCAATAGAGAATTCTTTCTTTTATATATATCTGAATTAATAATTATACTTTATATATATATATATATATATATATATATATATATATATATATATATATATATATATATATATATATATATATATATATATATATATATATATATTATGTATACATATATTATATATATATATATATATATATATATATATATATATATATATATATATATATATATATATATATTATGTATTCATATATATATATATATATATATATATATATATATATATATATATATATATATATATTTATATGTGTTTTTTTATTTAGTTGTTTCTTATTATCATAATATATTTATTAAAAATCTATACTTATATATATATATATATATATATATATATATATATATATATATATATGTATATATATATATATATATAAAAGATATATGTTTTGTTTTAATGCTAAAATCTTTTTTTAATGTTATGATAGGGACATGGCAATATGCAACTGAATCAGTAGTAAACAGGTATGAAGAACTGTGCATAAAGTGTAAAATGTATTTAATTGAATTACAATCATCTTACATGAAAGTTACTGAAGTCATGACAAGTGTTGATAATATTTGGAGATGGGCTGAAGAGACAGATGAATCTCTCGATATTATGTTTACAAATGAAATTCATTATTTAATACAGCTAATTTATGAAATTAAAGTGAGAAAATTTTCATTTTTTATGTTTTTAAATGCAAAAGATTTATTAACTCTTTCTATAATAAATGTTTGTAAAGCAATTTTTTTTTTAAGTTTTATAAACAAAATTTTGCAAACCAAATAAAATAGATCATATTAAAATCTTTTTTTTTGTGAGTATGATTTAAAAAAAAAAAGGCCATACAAAAACAATTACAGAATTTCAATATACTGTTTTTTTGTGGTAATATATAAAAAATATACATATATTTTAAAACTATGTTATTATTAGTGCTTTTATCTTTAAGATTATCTTATTGACAATAACTGTACAAAGTGCTGGATTAAATGTGTTGAAAAGTCGAATTTGTACAGATCGAGATGCATTTTATGAAAGATTTGTTCAGACTGAAGAAATGCTTTTTAAGTTGCAAAATAAAGCTAATGAAAAAAAGATAGCATGCATAGCATCATTTTCTGAATATGTTGAAAATTTTAAAAGTTGGATGGAGGGTTTACACTCAAAACTGTTGTCTAATAATTTGATTACATTTGATATCATAGCAAGCGAGGAAAAGCTTATAGTAAGTTTGCTTTATTCTTTGTTACTATAACTTTTTTTACTGTAAAAAAAATTATCTTTTAAACTAAACTGTTTTAGAAAATCAATGAAGATTTAGAGATGCATAGACAAGCTTATCAATTTATAAACCGATGTGCTCGCGAATTGATATCTCTTAAAGAAGATCCACAAACATCTTTTTTTATTTCTGTTATTAATAGTGTAAATTCAAAGTGGCAAGATATTTTTGTTTTATATATAAACCATCAAAAAAGGTATGATGAAGTTGTAAAGTTTTCAGAGAAGTTCTATGCCACAATAACACCATTTGTTCAATGGCTTGAAAAAATGGAGACTATATTGTCAACCTTATTACCAGTTGCTATTAAGTCTCAAGATATTCAAATACAACTTTCTGAATTAAAAGTATTTTGTTTAAAATTTTTAATCTTTGATTTTACAAATGCTGAACATCTGTTTAATTTTTATTTTTTGTTGTCAAATAAAATAAACTTTTATATAATAAAGTAAATAGTATACTATTGTAACATGATAACAATATTGCAATATACATGTTGTGTGTATTAGTTTCAAATGTTGTTGTTTTAGTGTTGCATGTTTGTTTTGATTGTATTTTGTAAATTATAGCTAAAAACTATCAAACTTATTTAGTTGATGTAATATATTAGAAAGTTTTATTATCTGTGTTAGCATTTATCTTTTTGTTGAAATGTTAATTCAAAAATCTGAAGTTATAGAAATGATAAAAAATGTTTATTCAAATATTTTAAATTATAGAAAGTAGTAAAATTAATAAAGTGTAAAATATATTTAATGTAGTAAAGTGTATTAATTATAAATAATTAAACAATCATAAAAGTTATTGAAGTCATGACAAGTGATAGTATAGGTAGTATTGAAAATATACAAACTTAGAAATGGTTGAAAAGTGTAGTCATTTGACTTTTATAAATGGTAATATAGATATCATTTATAAGTTTAACTAGAAGTTATGTATAAATAAAAGTGTTAATAATGCTTTTTTTTATTTATAAAGGCATTAACAAATGATGCTTACAATCACAAAGGAACTTTGGAAATTCTTATTAATATTGGAGATTCGCTTGTAAAAGAAGTTAAACAACAACAAGAAGATAAAGGTAGAGATTTTGTATATTTTTAAAATAAGAGTATTTTTTTCCCCTATTTTTAATGGTTGATAAAGAGTATTAAATAATTAATCAATTTTATATAATGTTTTGATTTTTTTTTCTTTTGATAATTAATATTTATTAAACTTCATGAATTTAATTTTTCCAAAAATTAGCAGACACAAAAATTATAATATACTTCAAGATATTGAAAACATTGTGGCAAAATTTTACCAACAATAGATTCATAAACCAAAAAGAAGAAACTAAGGAAACTAAAATTACTAAATTGACAGTTTTGTTTACCAAAATAAAATCTTACAAGCAAGAGCTTTTTTGAACATTATGACAATATAAGTTCAATCAATATAAGGTAAGCATTGTTGCTCATGAGTTAGAATATTATTTATGGAATCTGAAGTTATAAAATGGCATGCATGATAAAGAGAGCCAAACTTAGCAAATGCTAATTTTGCAATGGTATGTGTTTCCATGAGAGGTCAGAAATGAATGATAATCTGAGAACCCCAAAAGAGAAGATTTAGTGATAGTATTGCCATTCATTCAGTGATGGTGTTGCCATTCATTCAATTATAGTGTTGCCATTCATTCAGCGATAGTTTTGCCATTCATTCAGTGATTGCGTTGCCATTCATAAAAATTGAAATATCAAAAATATTGAAATAATTTTTAGCAGTAAAAAACTTAATTTTGATTGGGTTTCAACAAATTCAACAGCTCCTGCCTCAAGCTGAACTAAGAATGAAAACTTTTTTGTCAAGGTTGGAGTATATAGTTGTGTTGTCATCAGCCACTTTAAAGGTAAGATTATCAGGAAGATAACTAACACAGATGAGGTATAACACGGTGTTGTACCTCACTATTGATATTATATATATTGATATTATATATACTGTTGCGGTGTCACTGCACCAATGATCAAACCTTGTGGTATCTCAAATGTTATTGGAAATGAAAAAGAGTGTTGTCCATTAAGAACAACTAATTTTGCAATCAGAAAGGAACAATTCAATCATTAAAAATTTATCTCACTATATGAAACAAGCTTATGGAGAAGATCAGCATGCGAGACTTGGTTTTATAGATTCATAAGATGAATTAAAAAGAAAAACTCTTTGCAAGTAGTTCTGCCTTATTATAAGATTAGAACCATGTATAAGAGATGGAATAATAGACTTCATCTCATATGCATGACTTTTTACTTTCATTTGTAATGTAATTTGTTTCAAATGTAAATGCAGTTGTTAAAGATTTTTCAAAAGTCTCTAGAGCTTAATTTCTTATACAAAATATGAGATTCTGAGAGAAATGGGCAAACGATGAAACTCTTTACTTTTTAGAATCAATTTCTTGCAATAATAAAAAGATGTTTGTTTTCTCTAGAGAATTGTTCTCCTGGAAACATAAATAATTAGAATTAGAATTAAATTAGAACAAGAAAGTGGAAAGCACAGAATCCATGAGATTATAAATATGGTGCAATTTTTGGCAGAGAAACAAAAGATATCAATGCAAGGACTATCACAAAGAAAATCAGGAAAAGTATCCCAATCAACCTTAAGGCAGTAGTATGAAATGCATTAATATTGTGAAACTGATAAAGAAGAAGTAAGAGTTTTTTCATTTGTAGTTGTTTCAATACAACTACAAATAAAAAGAACTTGTAAGAGATAAAGATAAAAATAGGAGAACAAGGAGAAACTGAGTATAAGGTAGAATATGAGACAAGAAACAAATCAAGGCTTGAAAATAAGTGATTAAACTTGTCTGGAAAAAAAATCAAATATTTAAGTAACTGAGCATGAGATTGAGAAAAACAAAAATTATGAACTTTACTAGTGCTAAGTTATTCAGTTTGATGAGTCTACAAAAATGACAATTTTGGCTGAGGGACAAACAGAGAGGGATTAGTCAATTTGATCAGAAATAACATTGAAAAGGGTGGAAAGATTTCATGATTTAAATTAATAGAGAACCCTACATAATGAGCGATTGCCTCATTCCTGATTATAAATTTATAGCTATAACTGAGTTTTAGAGCTCTCATTAGGAGGTAACAGAAAGAGTTGCATAGTCACTATCAAAAAGACACTAACATAACCTCATGAGTAGAGCCAAGAAGATTGTAGTAATAGGCAAGAATGTAATACATGTTTACACTTATGGAGCATATTAGGCAAACAAGGCATGCAAAGTAAACAAAACTTTAGAACTTCATTAAAGTTCTAAACTTCATAAAAAATGCATAAAGTTTAATAAATATTAATTATCAAAAGAAAAAACATTATTTTAAATTGATTAATTATTTAATACTCTTTATCAACCATTAAAAATAGGGAAAACAAGAAGTTTTCTGCTCACCCCTAAAATCTTTTTCTGTAAGACTAAACATCTGCCCAGCATGAGTATTTTTATTGACACATAATCTCTAGCCTCAACTCAACCAAGTATTTTTAGGTAGGGCATTTTAAGTCAGAATTAACTTTTCTTAGCCTTTGCTTAAAAAAGCAAATCCTACAAGTTATGGGTAGGTTGTATTAGACTACATGTTACCAGTAGCAGGGTAATCATGATGACCCTAATGACTTGACCTTATAGTTACTGGTTTATATATTTTTTAATTAAGAGTTTTTCTTTTTAGATCATAAGCAAACACCTATTCAAATAGAAATGGAGACTTGTAGAAAGCGATTTGATCAAATAATTGATATTCTAACTAATAGATCTTTAATACTTAATTCAACCCTTGGCCAAGCTGAAATTTATCAAGAATCTTATAATAAAGTAATTGTTTGGTTGGGGATTCAGGATGATAGGGAAAAGCAATGGCATATTATAAGTGGAAAGCTAGAAATTGTTTGGAATCAATATTTGGAACATCTAGTAAGTAATAAAGATTTTTATGAGACATTTTCTTATACTGTGGGCTTAAGTTCAGTATGTCGGTGGGTTCTGCAAAAGGACAATATCAGCAACATTTTATGCTTAGCTAAATCTTCTAATATATATATATATATATATATATATATATATATATATATATATATATATATATATATATATATATATATATATATATATATATATCCTTATAGTGTAGTCAAAAGAGACTTTTATGGTAAAAAAAGTTACTTTCGAATACAATTTTTTTACCTCATAAAATTTATTGTACTTTCGCATTAATTTAATTGCTTTGACATTTCGTCGTCGAAATGTCAAAGCAATTAAATTAATGCGAAAGTACATTAAATTTTATTGCTTTTTAAAAAAACCGCAATAATAATGACTAGAAAGTTTTTTTTAATTAATGGTGTTTTTGTTGTTGTTTTGTTAAAATATAATTTTAAAACATGCGCGGAATGTTGCTACATTGACTATCTTATAGCCTGCTGCTACAAGGGAGTGTTGCTACATTAACTATCTTATAGCCTGAATCGCAATGGAGTGTTGCTACATCAACTTTCTTACAGCCTGACTCGCAACAGAGTGCTGCTACATTGACTGACAAATAGCTTGACTCGCAAGGGAGTGCTACTACATCGACTGAGGGTTTGGTTTGGGCAGGTAGTCTATCATTTAAGAAAAAAAAAATTACTTAAGTTTTTAAACTTTTTCTGGTCTGGTTTATTAACACGCTCTTTAAAACTACAGTTTATGGGAAAAACTTTCTGTCTACCATACAAGAGTATATATATATATATATATATATATATATATATATATATATTATATATATATATATATATATATATATATGTATATATATATTGTCGGCTACTTTTATATAGTCGGCTACTTTTATTTAAATTGTGAAATTAAAAAAAAAGTAGCCTCCTTGAAATTAATTTTAAACCAAATCTTTAATTTGTAATATATGTATTTATTCTATGTATAAGAAAAGAGTCAAACTATTTTTATTGTTTAACAAATTTACATATTTTTAAAAAATGAAATAAAATTTTATGTTTTTATATTTATATTAAATATTTATTTATATTTTATGTTTCTTCCATAGAATTATCAAAAAGATTTGCGAAATGGTTTTTCAATTATTAAGCAAACATTGTTTTATGGATCTGAACTAACTCAAGGTAAAGAATCACTCCCTGGAGTAGCATTTGTAAAGATGCAATGTAATGAGCTTACTGAACGATGGAACAAACTTTGTTCAGAATCAGATGTTAGACATAACAATCTTGAGCATAAGTTAGAAACATATCTCAAGGAAGAAGTTCAAAATGTTATACTTTGGATGAAAAAAAAAGAAAAAGAAATCAATAAAATGGAAGAAAAAAATAATCCTGAAAAACTAGATATATACATCAATGTAATTATCATCTTTATATATGTAACATTTAATGATGCTTCTAGTAATTTAAATTTTTTTCATAAATTTTGAAAACATTTGTATGTATATTAACACAACAATTGTATATATATTAACACAACAATTGTATGTATATTAACACAACAATTGTATGTATATTAACACAACAATTGTATGTATATTAACACAATGTATAAGCAAAAGTACAAAAAAAATTTAGTGTACTGCAACATAAAGTCATCTTTATAATATAAGTCAAATGAATTGTTATTAGTGTAAAAATAACAATTGGTTTATTTTTTTATCATAGGAGTTAATTGTTGAAATAAAACAATATGAATATCTCTTTTTTGTTATACATCAAATATCAACAAAATTAATGGAGACTTCAAAAACTGAAAAGGTTATGATATACAAAGATTTGACTCAACTTGAGGAATACTGGCTTCGCTTATGTCAATTATATCAGGTTTCTCCACTGTTTCAAAACAGAATAAATCTACAACATCCCTGGCAAATCAAGCTTGATGCAAGAGATAATGTAAAAGTAACAACTTGTTATTTTATAGTTTTTATTGTAGCACAATTTTCTTGTTCTTTTATCTTTATTTTTAACTTTTTATTTCATTTATTTTTAAATTTCTAATCCTGCAGATTAATTTACTTTTTTTTGTTTTGTTTAATTGTTTACAATCATTTAAATATATTAAATTTTATTATGAAAATTTATTTAGGCATCCAAACAAGCTCAAAGTTTAGAGGCAGAGACAAAAAATACATCAAGTAGAAAGCCTCTTTTTTTATCACTAAATAAAGATTATCATGGTTATCGTATAAATAGAGCAGTTCATGCTTTTAATGAACATGAAGACTCTGTTTCCAGTAAAGTCTTTTTACAAACTCCTCATAGGTATAATTTTAGTTCTGCTCCCACTACTCCTACTTCGCCAAAAGTTTTTGAAGATTCTTGCTTTTTGGATAGACAAAATCTTTTTCCCCAAAGATCTTCTTCACCAAACAGTTTATTGTTAAAGTATGACAATAAAAATCCTCATAAAGCCCAAACAAGAACATTAACTTCATTACAGTTTGAAGGTAGATCCAGCCCTACAATTCCATTTATGACTTTTAACAACCCGTTATTGTATGAAAATGATACAAATCTTTTTGATGTTTCTGTTAAAAGAAATAACTTGTTTTCCAACGCACAAAGTTCCATAAGAAATGACAATAATGAAATTCTATTAAACCAAATGGAACTAATTAAAGAGACAGAACCAAGTAAAAAAAAAATTGCAAAAGATCTACACAGGTATAATTTCAGTTCACTTCCCACTTCACCAAAAAATTTTAATGATTCCTTTTCTGATAAAGAAAACTTTATTAGATCTTTTACCCCAAATAGCTCATTTTTAAAAAATGACAAAGAGTTAACTACCCATAAAGCACAAAAAAACACATTAACTCCATTACAGTCCAAAGGAAGATCCAGTCCTACAATTCCAGTAAAGTCTTTTACTAACCCATTATATTATAAGCATGACCAAAATTTTTTATACCAAGAAAAGGATAATGCTACTGTTAAAAGAAATAATTTTTTTTTAAACTCCTCACAGAGTTCAATTAAAAATGATTATAATGAAACTCAATCAAATCAAGAAGAATTATATAAAGAATTTCAAGATAAAACATTTGAAAAAGATCCAAACAGTAATATTTTTTTACATGCACTACCCCAGTATAGTTTCAACTCTGCTCCAACATCACCTATGGCTTTTAAAGACTCTTACTTTTTTGATAAACAAAACTATGTTAGATCTTTTTCGACAAATACTTCATTGTTAAGAGGCGATAATGACAGTCTTTATAAACCACGAGTAAGTAACACATTAACTTCATTTGAAGGAAGTTCCAGTCCCATCATTCCAGTTAAGTCTTTTAACAGGCCATTATTGTATGAGGATGATCGAATTAAATCTTATTCAGAAAAAAATTCTAATTTACAACTTCCAGAGGTTTCATCAGAGGATATTGTTATTACAGATAAGTATGGCAGACGTGTGAGACAAAAAGTTTTTAAAAAAGTTACACGCACTCATCAAAGAATTGTAAGAAAAAAATATATTGATGAAAATGGAAAAGAATGTATTGAAGAAATTTTTGTTCCAAATGATTACGAGATCAATAATGACAACATTAATCTGGAAGAAGGTTCTGTTATTATCCACAGCCCAAATGAAACTGATACAACTACAAATGAAGAACTTGTTAGAGATAAAGATGGAAATATTATCAAGAGAATTGTGAAAAAAGTTACTCATGTGACAAAACGTTCTCAAATTATAAAAAGAGCAGCTTCAGAAGGTGATCAAAAAATTGATGCAGATAATTTTGGTACTTTTACTCTGCTTAAATCTCCAAATTTAAAATCGTATAGTCTTCCAAAAACAAATGAAATAATGGCTGATGGTTTTCAATCAAATGAAGACCTAAATGGTGAGTATAAAACATATAGTTTGCCAAACAAAAATGTTTCTACTAATGAAGAAAAATTGTTAGACCAGCATAATATTGATAGTTATCATTTTACATTAGATAACAAAACAGAACCAAAACAAACTAAAAAATATATAACAAAGTTAAGAAGACCAATATTTTATAAACAAAACGAAAATAAAAAAGTTACAGTTCATTTTCATGGAATAGTGAATAATGAATGTACAAAACAAGAGAAAACAATTATGCATATAAATTTATCTAAACCAGAAAAATTTGTTGTAACTAGTATTACAAATTCATTGTTTAAAAATGATTCAGGAACATTACAAAATTTATCACATTCACAATATTATGATATTAGGGAAAATAATAAAACTTTTGAAAATATTAGTTCTCATAACTTTGTAAAGAATAAATCTGAAAGTTCTAATTTACCTACTACTGACACACCTGATGATACAGTTGGTGGTTCTTTAAATGTAAATATACCTCGTCGACAAGTTCATCGATACTATGTCAAAAAGGTTGACTTGATGTCAAATGAGTTATTAGATAAAATAAAGGAAATACCTCCCCCAAAAAAAGATATAGAGATAGTACAACAATCAGATAATGTGTTGGAACTAAGAAGAGTAATAAGAAAATCTATTGTACAAAAAACAAGAAGAAAGGTTCACAGAATGATTGTACCAAATACAAAACAAATAAATCCTGATATAAATGAAAGCATTACATATAAAAAAAGAAATGCCGATACAAATGAAAATATTGTATTTGAAAAGAAAATTAACAATTTAGAATGTGATAATATTATTAAAGAAGGGTTTGAAGTTGCACCTGAAGAATTTGAATTAAAGCCAGATATTTCTGAGTCTGCAATTATTTCAAACAATAAAATGCAGGATGTTCAGATTAATGATAGTAATTCATTCTTGGGTTTAGAACCTGTTATTTCTGGTGACTTAAAACAAATTATTTTGAGGAGAGTAATAAGACGACCTGTAATAAAGCCAACAGCTAGAAAAATAATTAGAAAAATTGAAGTTAACTCTAAAGAGTCCATTATTGACACATCAAGTGATAAAGCAGAATTCTTAAAAGAAGAAACAGTTTGCTTTATTATTAAAGATAATAAAGTGCATATTTTTAATGAACAAAATACTAGAAAAAACATTATAAATTTGAATAAATCTGAATTAGTAACAGAAGTCAACAAATTATTTCAATTATCAAAGTTAAATGAAATAAGCACATATTCAGAAGCTAAAAAGACAAAAGAATTAAATATTAGTTTCAAAGAAAAGCCAATAAAATCAAAAACACTTTCAATATTTACAACCAAAAATCTTGAATATAATATTAAATTTGTAGATGAAACTTTGCCTGAATCGTTGAATATTAAAAACAATGTATATATCAATTCAAATCAAATAATTTTAAGGAGGGTGATAAGAAAGCCTATTTTAGCAAAAACAACAAGAAAAGTAATCAGAAAATCATTCCTAGAAACAAACAACACACAAAAAATGTCTTTTACAACTAAAACCAATGTTATTGTTTCTAATAATAAAGTGTTTGACATTCAAGAAAAAAAACCAAGTGAACAATTATTGTGTAAATTAAAAAAAGACCATCAAGATTATGTTGACTCAGAACCTTCACATAAGTCTCATATTAATTACAATATTTTAAAAACAAAACAAAAAACATATCAGAAATTATATAAAATAATGCTTATATCTAACATTAATAAACCAACAATGAATGATACCATTCCAGTAGGCCCAAAAAAACATGACGAGGATATAATTAAAACTACAAATATTTCGATCCAAGAACACATTCCTGATTTAATTTCTGAGGTTGATGATTTATCTGAAGATGAAATTGATGTGAGACAAATTTACAGAAAGGTTTCTCGTCATTTAATAGAAGCTGATGATACTCATATATTAGGTCACGATGTTGCTGAAACTAGCTCCCCATTAATTTCTAATTTGAAAGAAGATCCTTTAGATAAAATTATTGAATCCATACCTGCGTATGAATCTAATATTGGTCATACTGTTTTAAGAACTGTACATCGAAAACCGCTTAATGTACCTTCTCTTCGATCAGTATATAGAAAGGTAATTGTGTCTGAAGTTGAAGAAGATAAAATCAATGTTGACATTCCAGTTCACTCAGTAATAAATGAAGAGGTTTTGATTGAAACTACAAACATATCTGTTCAAGAACACATACCTGATTTAATTTTTGAGCTTGCTAATTTATCTGAAGACGAAATCAATATAAGACAAGTTTACAGAAAGTGCTCTTACCATTTAGAAGAACCTCTTGATACTGACGTATCTGATAATGGTATTGTTAAACCAAATTTACCATTAGTTGTTGACATAAAGGATGATCGTTTTGATAAAAGTGTTGATTCTATACCGTCACCTGAGTCTGACATTGATTACCTTGTTTTAAGAACAGTACAACGCAAACCAATCAATGTCCCAACATTGAGGCAAGTTTATCGTAAGGATTTTGTATCTGTTATTGAAGAAACTACAATGAATGTTGTCATTCCTGAACACACAGTCATAAATGATGAGGATGTAATTGAAACTACAAATATTTCGATCCAAGAACACATTCCTGATTTAATTTCTGAGGTTGATGATTTATCTGAAGATGAAATTGATATGAGACAAATTTACAGAAAGGTTTCTCTTCATTTAATAGAAGCTGATGATACTCTTATATTAGGTCACGATGTTGCTGAAACTAGCTCCCCATTAATTTCTAATTTAAAAGAAGATCCTTTAGATAAAATTATTGAATCCATACCTGCGTATGAATCTAATATTGGTCATACTGTTTTAAGAACTGTACATCGAAAACCGCTTAATGTTCCTTCTCTTCGATCAGTATATAGAAAGGTGATTGTGTCTGAAATTGAAGAAGATAAAATCAATGTTGACATTCCAGTTCACTCAGTAATAAATGAAGAGGTTTTGATTGAAACTACAAACATATCTGTTCAAGAACACATACCTGATTTAATTTCTGAGCTTGCTGATTTATCTGAAAACGAAATCAATGTAAGACGAGTTTACAGAAAGTGCTCTTACCATTTAGAAGATCCTCTTGATACTGACGTATCTGATAATGGTGTTGTTAAACCAAATTTACCATTAGTTGTTGACATAAAGGATGATCGTTTTGATGAAAGTGTTGATTCTATACCATCACCTGAGTCTGACATTGATTACGTTGTTTTAAGAACAGTACAACGCAAACCAATCAATGTCCCAACATTGAGACAAGTTTATCGTAAGGATTTTGTATCTGTTATTGAAGAAACTACAATGAATATTGTCATTCCTGAACACACAGTCATAAATGATGAGGATGTAATTGAAACTACAAATATTTCGATCCAAGAACACATTCCTGATTTAATTTCTGAGGTTGATGATTTATCTGAAGATGAAATTGATGTAAGACAAATTTACAGAAAGGTTTCTCGTCATTTAATAGAGGCTGATGATACTCATGTATTAGGTCACGATGCTGCTGAAACTAGCTCCCCATTAATTTCTTATTTAAAAGAAGATCCTTTAGATAAAATTATTGAATTGGAAGAAGATGTTGAATTGTCATGCCGTCGTGTTGTTCGGGTTTTAACGAAGGTTTCTATTGTTTCACCTTTGGTTATTCCTTATGATTTTGGAAGACAAGTTATTATTAACAGAACTATTGTATTACCTAATGAAATTAATTTAAGCTCTCAGTTTTCTAACAATTTAAAAGATAATAATAATCTTGAAGTTTTGGATTCTATTTCTAGCAATATGTCAGTAATTTTGACATTAAGAACAGTACAACGGAAACCAATCAATGTCCCAACATTAAGACAAGTTTATCGTAAGGATTTTGTATCTGTTATTGAAGAAACTACAATGAATGTTGTCATTCCTGAACACACAGTCATCAATGATGAGGATGTAATTGAAACTACAAATATTTCGATCCAAGAACACATTCCTGATTTAATTTCTGAGCTTGCTGATTTATCTGAAGACGAAATCAATGTAAGACAAGTTTACAGAAAGTGCTCTTACCATTTAGAAGATCCTCTTGATACTGACGTATCTGATAATGGTGTTGTTAAACCAAATTTACCATTAGTTGTTGACATAAAGGATGATCGTTTTGATGAAAGTGTTGATTCTATACCGTCACCTGAGTCTGACATTGATTACATTGTTTTAAGAACAGTACAACGCAAACCAATCAATGTCCCAACATTGAGACAAGTTTATCGTAAGGATTTTGTATCTCTTATTGAAGAAACTACAATGAATGTTGTCATTCCTGAACACACAGTCATAAATAATGAGGATGTAATTGAAACTACAAATATTTCAATCCAAGAACACATTCCTGATTTAATTTCTGAGGTTGATGATTTATCTGAAGATGAAATTGATGTGAGACAAATTTACAGAAAGGTTTCTCGTCATTTAATAGAAGCTGATGATACTCATATATTAGGTCACGATGTTGCTGAAACTAGCTCCCCATTAATTTCTAATTTGAAAGAAGATCCTTTAGATAAAATTATTGAATCCATACCTGCGTATGAATCTAATATTGGTCATACTGTTTTAAGAACTGTACATCGAAAACCGCTTAATGTACCTTCTCTTCGATCAGTATATAGAAAGGTAATTGTGTCTGAAGTTGAAGAAGATAAAATCAATGTTGACATTCCAGTTCACTCAGTAATAAATGAAGAGGTTTTGATTGAAACTACAAACATATCTGTTCAAGAACACATACCTGATTTAATTTTTGAGCTTGCTAATTTATCTGAAGACGAAATCAATATAAGACAAGTTTACAGAAAGTGCTCTTACCATTTAGAAGAACCTCTTGATACTGACGTATCTGATAATGGTATTGTTAAACCAAATTTACCATTAGTTGTTGACATAAAGGATGATCGTTTTGATAAAAGTGTTGATTCTATACCGTCACCTGAGTCTGACATTGATTACGTTGTTTTAAGAACAGTACAACGCAAACTAATCAATGTCCCAACATTGAGACAAGTTTATCGTAAGGATTTTGTATCTGTTATTGAAGAAACTACAATGAATGTTGTCATTCCTGAACACACAGTCATAAATAATGAGGATGTAATTGAAACTACAAATATTTCGATCCAAGATCACATTCCTGATTTAATTTCTGAGGTTGATGATTTATCTGAAGATGAAATTGATGTGAGACAAATTTACAGAAAGGTTTCTCGTCATTTAATAGAAGCTGATGATACTCATATATTAGGTCACGATGTTGCTGAAACTAGCTCCCCATTAATTTCTAATTTGAAAGAAGATCCTTTAGATAAAATTATTGAATCCATACCTGCGTATGAATCTAATATTGTTCATACTGTTTTAAGAACTGTACATCGAAAACCGCTTAATGTTCCTTCTCTTCGATCAGTATATAGAAAGGTGATTGTGTCTGAAATTGAAGAAGATAAAATCAATGTTGACATTCCAGTTCACTCAGTAATAAATGAAGAGGTTTTGATTGAAACTACAAACATATCTGTTCAAGAACACATACCTGATTTAATTTCTGAGCTTGCTGATTTATCTGAAGACGAAATCAATGTAAGACAAGTTTACAGAAAGTGCTCTTACCATTTAGAAGATCCTCTTGATACTGACGTATCTGATAATGGTGTTGTTAAACCAAATTTACCATTAGTTGTTGACATAAAGGATGATCGTTTTGATGAAAGTGTTGATTCTATACCGTCACCTGAGTCTGACATTGATTACATTGTTTTAAGAACAGTACAACGCAAACCAATCAATGTCCCAACATTGAGACAAGTTTATCGTAAGGATTTTGTATCTCTTATTGAAGAAACTACAATGAATGTTGTCATTCCTGAACACACAGTCATAAATAATGAGGATGTAATTGAAACTACAAATATTTCAATCCAAGAACACATTCCTGATTTAATTTCTGAGGTTGATGATTTATCTGAAGATGAAATTGATGTGAGACAAATTTACAGAAAGGTTTCTCGTCATTTAATAGAAGCTGATGATACTCATATATTAGGTCACGATGTTGCTGAAACTAGCTCCCCATTAATTTCTAATTTGAAAGAAGATCCTTTAGATAAAATTATTGAATCCATACCTGCGTATGAATCTAATATTGTTCATACTGTTTTAAGAACTGTACATCGAAAACCGCTTAATGTTCCTTCTCTTCGATCAGTATATAGAAAGGTGATTGTGTCTGAAATTGAAGAAGATAAAATCAATGTTGACATTCCAGTTCACTCAGTAATAAATGAAGAGGTTTTGATTGAAACTACAAACATATCTGTTCAAGAACACATACCTGATTTAATTTCTGAGCTTGCTGATTTATCTGAAGACGAAATCAATGTAAGACAAGTTTACAGAAAGTGCTCTTACCATTTAGAAGATCCTCTTGATACTGACGTATCTGATAATGGTGTTGTTAAACCAAATTTACCATTAGTTGTTGACATAAAGGATGATCGTTTTGAGGAAAGTGTTGATTCTATACCGTCACCTGAGTCTGACATTGATTACATTGTTTTAAGAACAGTACAACGCAAACCAATCAATGTCCCAACATTGAGACAAGTTTATCGTAAGGATTTTGTATCTCTTATTGAAGAAACTACAATGAATGTTGTCATTCCTGAACACACAGTCATAAATAATGAGGATGTAATTGAAACTACAAATATTTCAATCCAAGAACACATTCCTGATTTAATTTCTGAGGTTGATGATTTATCTGAAGATGAAATTGATGTGAGACAAATTTACAGAAAGGTTTCTCGTCATTTAATAGAAGCTGATGATACTCATATATTAGGTCACGATGTTGCTGAAACTAGCTCCCCATTAATTTCTAATTTGAAAGAAGATCCTTTAGATAAAATTATTGAATCCATACCTGCGTATGAATCTAATATTGTTCATACTGTTTTAAGAACTGTACATCGAAAACCGCTTAATGTTCCTTCTCTTCGATCAGTATATAGAAAGGTGATTGTGTCTGAAATTGAAGAAGATAAAATCAATGTTGACATTCCAGTTCACTCAGTAATAAATGAAGAGGTTTTGATTGAAACTACAAACATATCTGTTCAAGAACACATACCTGATTTAATTTCTGAGCTTGCTGATTTATCTGAAGACGAAATCAATGTAAGACAAGTTTACAGAAAGTGCTCTTACCATTTAGAAGATCCTCTTGATACTGACGTATCTGATAATGGTGTTGTTAAACCAAATTTACCATTAGTTGTTGACATAAAGGATGATCGTTTTGATGAAAGTGTTGATTCTATACCGTCACCTGAGTCTGACTTTGATTACGTTGTTTTAAGAACAGTACAACGCAAACCAATCAATGTCCCAACATTGAGACAAGTTTATCGTAAGGATTTTGTATCTGTTATTGAAGAAACTACAATGAATGTTGTCATTCCTGAACACACAGTCATAAATAATGAGGATGTAATTAAAACTACAAATATTTCGATCCAAGATCACATTCCTGATTTAATTTCTGAGGTTGATGATTTATCTGAAGATAAAATTGATGTGAGACAAATTTACAGAAAGGTTTCTCGTCATTTAATAGAAGCTGATGATACTCATATATTAGGTCACGATGTTGCTGAAACTAGCTCCCCATTAATTTCTAATTTGAAAGAAGATCCTTTAGATAAAATTATTGAATCCATACCTGCGTATGAATCTAATATTGTTCATACTGTTTTAAGAACTGTACATCGAAAACCGCTTAATGTTCCTTCTCTTCGATCAGTATATAGAAAGGTGATTGTGTCTGAAATTGAAGAAGATAAAATCAATGTTGACATTCCAGTTCACTCAGTAATAAATGAAGAGGTTTTGATTGAAACTACAAACATATCTGTTCAAGAACACATACCTGATTTAATTTCTGAGCTTGCTGATTTATCTGAAGACGAAATCAATGTAAGACAAGTTTACAGAAAATGCTCTTACCATTTAGAAGATCCTCTTGATACTGACGTATCTGATAATGGTGTTGTTAAACCAAATTTACCATTAGTTGTTGACATAAAGGATGATCGTTTTGATGAAAGTGTTGATTCTATACCGTCACCTGAGTCTGACATTGATTACATTGTTTTAAGAATAGTACAACGCAAACCAATCAATGTCCCAACATTGAGACAAGTTTATTGTAAGGATTTTGTATCTCTTATTGAAGAAACTACAATGAATGTTGTCATTCCTGAACACACAGTCATAAATAATGAGGATGTAATTGAAACTACAAATATTTCAATCCAAGAACACATTCCTGATTTAATTTCTGAGGTTGATGATTTATCTGAAGATGAAATTGATGTGAGACAAATTTACAGAAAGGTTTCTCGTCATTTATTAGAAGCTGATGATACTCATATATTAAGTCACGATGTTGCTGAAACTAGCTCCCTATTAATTTCTAATTTGAAAGAAGATCCTTTAGATAAAATTATTGAATCCATACCTGCGTATGAATCTAATATTGTTCATACTGTTTTAAGAACTGTACATCGAAAACCGCTTAATGTTCCTTCTCTTCGATCAGTATATAGAAAGGTGATTGTGTCTGAAATTGAAGAAGATAAAATCAATGTTGACATTCCAGTTCACTCAGTAATAAATGAAGAGGTTTTGATTGAAACTACAAACATATCTGTTCAAGAACACATACCTGATTTAATTTCTGAGCTTGCTGATTTATCTGAAGACGAAATCAATGTAAGACAAGTTTACAGAAAGTGCTCTTACCATTTAGAAGATCCTCTTGATACTGACGTATCTGATAATGGTGTTGTTAAACCAAATTTACCATTAGTTGTTGACATAAAGGATGATCGTTTTGATGAAAGTGTTGATTCTATACCGTCACCTAAGTCTGACTTTGATTACGTTGTTTTAAGAACAGTACAACGCAAACCAATCAATGTCCCAACATTGAGACAAGTTTATCGTAAGGATTTTGTATCTGTTATTGAAGAAACTACAATGAATGTTGTCATTCCTGAACACACAGTCATAAATAATGAGGATGTAATTAAAACTACAAATATTTCGATCCAAGATCACATTCCTGATTTAATTTCTGAGGTTAATGATTTATCTGAAGATGAAATTGATGTGAGACAAATTTACAGAAAGGTTTCTCGTCATTTAATAGAAGCTGATGATACTCATATATTAAGTCACGATGTTGCTGAAACTAGCTCCCTATTAATTTCTAATTTGAAAGAAGATCCTTTAGATAAAATTATTGAATCCATACCTGCGTATGATTCTAATATTGTTCATACTGTTTTAAGAACTGTACATCGAAAACCGCTTAATGTTCCTTCTCTTCGATCAGTATATAGAAAGGTGATTGTGTCTGAAATTGAAGAAGATAAAATCAATGTTGACATTCCAGTTCACTCAGTAATAAATGAAGAGGTTTTGATTGAAACTACAAACATATCTGTTCAAGAACACATACCTGATTTAATTTCTGAGCTTGCTGATTTATCTGAAGACGAAATCAATGTAAGACAAGTTTACAGAAAGTGCTCTTACCATTTAGAAGATCCTCTTGATACTGACGTATCTGATAATGGTGTTGTTAAACCAAATTTACCATTAGTTGTTGACATAAAGGATGATCGTTTTGATGAAAGTGTTGATTCTATACCGTCACCTGAGTCTGACATTGATTACGTTGTTTTAAGAACAGTACAACGCAAACCAATCAATGTCCCAACATTGAGACAAGTTTATCGTAAGGATTTTGTATCTCTTATTGAAGAAACTACAATGAATGTTGTCATTCCTGAACACACAGTCATAAATAATGAGGATGTAATTAAAACTACAAATATTTCGATCCAAGATCACATTCCTGATTTAATTTCTGAGGTTAATGATTTATCTGAAGATGAAATTGATGTGAGACAAATTTACAGAAAGGTTTCTCGTCATTTATTAGAAGCTGATGATACTCATATATTAAGTCACGATGTTGCTGAAACTAGCTCCCTATTAATTTCTAATTTGAAAGAAGATCCTTTAGATAAAATTATTGAATCCATACCTGCGTATGATTCTAATATTGTTCATACTGTTTTACGAACTGTACATCGAAAACCGCTTAATGTTCCTTCTCTTCGATCAGTATATAGAAAGGTGATTGTGTCTGAAATTGAAGAAGATATAATCAATGTTGACATTCCAGTTCACTCAGTAATAAATGAAGAGGTTTTGATTGAAACTACAAACATATCTGTTCAAGAACACATACCTGATTTAATTTCTGAGCTTGCTGATTTATCTGAAGACGAAATCAATGTAAGACAAGTTTACAGAAAGTGCTCTTACCATTTAGAAGATCCTCTTGATACTGACGTATCTGATAATGGTGTTGTTAAACCAAATTTACCATTAGTTGTTGACATTAAGGATGATCGTTTTGATGAAAGTGTTGATTCTATACCGTCACCTGAGTCTGACATTGATTACATTGTTTTAAGAACAGTACAACGCAAACCAATCAATGTCCCAACATTGAGACAAGTTTATCGTAAGGATTTTGTATTTCTTATTGAAGAAACTACAATGAATGTTGTCATTCCTGAACACACAGTCATAAATAATGAGGATGTAATTGAAACTACAAATATTTCGATCCAAGAACACATTCCTGATTTATTTTCTGAGGTTGATGATTTATCTGAAGATGAAATTGATGTGAGACAAATTTACAGAAAGGTTTCTCGTCATTTAATAGAAGCTAATGATACTCATATATTAGGTCACGATGCTGCTGAAACTAGCTCCCCATTAATTTCTTATTTTAAAGAAGATCCTTTAGATAAAATTATTGAATTGGAAGAAGATGTTGAATTGTCATGCCGTCGTGTTGTTCGGGTTTTAACGAAGGTTTCTATTGTTTCACCTTTGGTTATTCCTTATAATTTTGGAAGACAAGTTATTATTAACAGAACTATTGTATTACCTAATGAAATTAATTTAAGCTCTCAGTTTTCTAACAATTTAAAAGATTATAATAATCTTGAAGTTTTGGATTCTATTTCTAGCAATATGTCAGTAATTTTGACATTAAGAACAGTACAACGCAAACCAATCAATGTCCCAACATTAAGACAAGTTTATCGTAAGGATTTTGTATCTGTTATTGAAGAAACTACAATGAATGTTGTCATTCCTGAACACACAGTCATCAATGATGAGGATGTAATTGAAACTACAAATATTTCGATCCAAGAACACATTCCTGATTTAATTTCTGAGCTTGCTGATTTATCTGAAGACGAAATCAATGTAAGACAAGTTTACAGAAAGTGCTCTTACCATTTAGAAGATCCTCTTGATACTGACGTATCTGATAATGGTGTTGTTAAACCAAATTTACCATTAGTTGTTGACATAAAGGATGATCGTTTTGATGAAAGTGTTGATTCTATACCGTCACCTGAGTCTGACATTGATTACATTGTTTTAAGAACAGTACAACGCAAACCAATCAATGTCCCAACATTGAGACAAGTTTATCGTAAGGATTTTGTATCTCTTATTGAAGAAACTACAATGAATGTTGTCATTCCTGAACACACAGTCATAAATAATGAGGATGTAATTGAAACTACAAATATTTCAATCCAAGAACACATTCCTGATTTAATTTCTGAGGTTGATGATTTATCTGAAGATGAAATTGATGTGAGACAAATTTACAGAAAGGTTTCTCGTCATTTAATAGAAGCTGATGATACTCTTATATTAGGTCACGATGTTGCTGAAACTAGCTCCCCATTAATTTCTAATTTAAAAGAAGATCCTTTAGATAAAATTATTGAATCCATACCTGCGTATGAATCTAATATTGGTCATACTGTTTTAAGAACTGTACATCGAAAACCGCTTAATGTACCTTCTCTTCGATCAGTATATAGAAAGGTAATTGTGTCTGAAATTGAAGAAGATAAAATCAATGTTGACATTCCAGTTCACTCAGTAATAAATGAAGAGGTTTTGATTGAAACTACAAACATATCTGTTCAAGAACACATACCTGATTTAATTTTTGAGCTTGCTAATTTATCTGAAGACGAAATCAATGTAAGACAAGTTTACAGAAAGTGCTCTTACCATTTAAAAGAACCTCTTGATAATGACGTATCTGATAATGGTGTTGTTAAACCAAATTTACCATTAGTTGTTGACATAAAGGATGATCGTTTTGATAAAAGTGTTGATTCTATACCGTCACCTGAGTCTGACATTGATTACGTTGTTTTAAGAACAGTACAACGCAAACTAATCAATGTCCCAACATTGAGACAAGTTTATCGTAAGGATTTTGTATCTGTTATTGAAGAAACTACAATGAATGTTGTCATTCCTGAACACACAGTCATAAATAATAAGGATGTAATTGAAACTACAAATTTTTCGATCCAAGATCACATTCCTGATTTAATTTCTGAGGTTGATGATTTATCTGAAGATGAAATTGATGTGAGACAAATTTACAGAAAGGTTTCTCGTCATTTAATAGAAGCTGATGATACTCATATATTAAGTCACGATGTTGCTGAAACTAGCTCCCCATTAATTTCTAATTTGAAAGAAGATCCTTTAGATAAAATTATTGAATCCATACCTGCGTATGAATCTAATATTGTTCATACTGTTTTAAGAACTGTACATCGAAAACCGCTTAATGTTCCTTCTCTTCGATCAGTATATAGAAAGGTGATTGTGTCTGAAATTGAAGAAGATAAAATCAATGTTGACATTCCAGTTCACTCAGTAATAAATGAAGAGGTTTTGATTGAAACTACAAACATATCTGTTCAAGAACACATACCTGATTTAATTTCTGAGCTTGCTGATTTATCTGAAGACGAAATCAATGTAAGACAAGTTTACAGAAAGTGCTCTTACCATTTAGAAGATCCTCTTGATACTGACGTATCTGATAATGGTGTTGTTAAACCAAATTTACCATTAGTTGTTGACATAAAGGATGATCGTTTTGATGAAAGTGTTGATTCTATACCGTCACCTGAGTCTGACATTGATTACGTTGTTTTAAGAACAGTACAACGCAAACCAATCAATGTCCCAACATTAAGACAAGTTTATCGTAAGGATTTTTTATCTGTTATTGAAGAAACTACAATGAATGTTGTCATTCCTGAACACACAGTCATAAATAATGAGGATGTAATTGAAACTACAAATATTTCGATCCAAGAACACATTCCTGATTTAATTTCTGAGGTTGATGATTTATATGAAGATGAAATTGATGTGAGACAAATTTACAGAAAGGTTTCTCGTCATTTAATAGAAGCTGATGATACTCTTATATTAGGTCACGATGTTGCTAAAACTAGCTCCCCATTAATTTCTAATTTAAAAGAAGATCCTTTAGATAAAATTATTGAATCCATACCTGCGTATGAATCTAATATTGGTCATACTGTTTTAAGAACTGTACATCGAAAACCGCTTAATGTACCTTCTCTTCGATCAGTATATAGAAAGGTAATTGTGTCTGAAATTGAAGAAGATAAAATCAATGTTGACATTCCAGTTCACTCAGTAATAAATGAAGAGGTTTTGATTGAAACTACAAACATATCTGTTCAAGAACACATACCTGATTTAATTTTTGAGCTTGCTAATTTATCTGAAGACGAAATCAATGTAAGACAAGTTTACAGAAAGTGCTCTTACCATTTAAAAGAACCTCTTGATAATGACGTATCTGATAATGGTGTTGTTAAACCAAATTTACCATTAGTTGTTGACATAAAGGATGATCGTTTTGATAAAAGTGTTGATTCTATACCGTCACCTGAGTCTGACATTGATTACGTTGTTTTAAGAACAGTACAACGCAAACTAATCAATGTCCCAACATTGAGACAAGTTTATCGTAAGGATTTTGTATCTGTTATTGAAGAAACTACAATGAATGTTGTCATTCCTGAACACACAGTCATAAATAATGAGGATGTAATTGAAACTACAAATATTTCGATCCAAGATCACATTCCTGATTTAATTTCTGAGGTTGATGATTTATCTGAAGATGAAATTGATGTGAGACAAATTTACAGAAAGGTTTCTCGTCATTTAATAGAAGCTGATGATACTCTTATATTAGGTCACGATGTTGCTGAAACTAGCTCCCCATTAATTTCTAATTTAAAAGAAGATCCTTTAGATAAAATTATTGAATCCATACCTGCGTATGAATCTAATATTGGTCATACTGTTTTAAGAACTGTACATCGAAAACCGCTTAATGTACCTTCTCTTCGATCAGTATATAGAAAGGTAATTGTGTCTGAAATTGAAGAAGATAAAATCAATGTTGACATTCCAGTTCACTCAGTAATAAATGAAGAGGTTTTGATTGAAACTACAAACATATCTGTTCAAGAACACATACCTGATTTAATTTTTGAGCTTGCTAATTTATCTGAAGACGAAATCAATGTAAGACAAGTTTACAGAAAGTGCTCTTACCATTTAAAAGAACCTCTTGATAATGACGTATCTGATAATGGTGTTGTTAAACCAAATTTACCATTAGTTGTTGACATAAAGGATGATCGTTTTGATAAAAGTGTTGATTCTATACCGTCACCTGAGTCTGACATTGATTACGTTGTTTTAAGAACAGTACAACGCAAACTAATCAATGTCCCAACATTGAGACAAGTTTATCGTAAGGATTTTGTATCTGTTATTGAAGAAACTACAATGAATGTTGTCATTCCTGAACACACAGTCATAAATAATAAGGATGTAATTGAAACTACAAATTTTTCGATCCAAGATCACATTCCTGATTTAATTTCTGAGGTTGATGATTTATCTGAAGATGAAATTGATGTGAGACAAATTTACAGAAAGGTTTCTCGTCATTTAATAGAAGCTGATGATACTCATATATTAAGTCACGATGTTGCTGAAACTAGCTCCCCATTAATTTCTAATTTGAAAGAAGATCCTTTAGATAAAATTATTGAATCCATACCTGCGTATGAATCTAATATTGTTCATACTGTTTTAAGAACTGTACATCGAAAACCGCTTAATGTTCCTTCTCTTCGATCAGTATATAGAAAGGTGATTGTGTCTGAAATTGAAGAAGATAAAATCAATGTTGACATTCCAGTTCACTCAGTAATAAATGAAGAGGTTTTGATTGAAACTACAAACATATCTGTTCAAGAACACATACCTGATTTAATTTCTGAGCTTGCTGATTTATCTGAAGACGAAATCAATGTAAGACAAGTTTACAGAAAGTGCTCTTACCATTTAGAAGATCCTCTTGATACTGACGTATCTGATAATGGTGTTGTTAAACCAAATTTACCATTAGTTGTTGACATAAAGGATGATCGTTTTGATGAAAGTGTTGATTCTATACCGTCACCTGAGTCTGACATTGATTACGTTGTTTTAAGAACAGTACAACGCAAACCAATCAATGTCCCAACATTAAGACAAGTTTATCGTAAGGATTTTTTATCTGTTATTGAAGAAACTACAATGAATGTTGTCATTCCTGAACACACAGTCATAAATAATGAGGATGTAATTGAAACTACAAATATTTCGATCCAAGAACACATTCCTAATTTAATTTCTGAGGTTGATGATTTATATGAAGATGAAATTGATGTGAGACAAATTTACAGAAAGGTTTCTCGTCATTTAATAGAAGCTGATGATACTCTTATATTAGGTCACGATGTTGCTAAAACTAGCTCCCCATTAATTTCTAATTTAAAAGAAGATCCTTTAGATAAAATTATTGAATCCATACCTGCGTATGAATCTAATATTGGTCATACTGTTTTAAGAACTGTACATCGAAAACCGCTTAATGTACCTTCTCTTCGATCAGTATATAGAAAGGTAATTGTGTCTGAAATTGAAGAAGATAAAATCAATGTTGACATTCCAGTTCACTCAGTAATAAATGAAGAGGTTTTGATTGAAACTACAAACATATCTGTTCAAGAACACATACCTGATTTAATTTTTGAGCTTGCTAATTTATCTGAAGACGAAATCAATGTAAGACAAGTTTACAGAAAGTGCTCTTACCATTTAAAAGAACCTCTTGATAATGACGTATCTGATAATGGTGTTGTTAAACCAAATTTACCATTAGTTGTTGACATAAAGGATGATCGTTTTGATAAAAGTGTTGATTCTATACCGTCACCTGAGTCTGACATTGATTACGTTGTTTTAAGAACAGTACAACGCAAACTAATCAATGTCCCAACATTGAGACAAGTTTATCGTAAGGATTTTGTATCTGTTATTGAAGAAACTACAATGAATGTTGTCATTCCTGAACACACAGTCATAAATAATGAGGATGTAATTGAAACTACAAATATTTCGATCCAAGATCACATTCCTGATTTAATTTCTGAGGTTGATGATTTATCTGAAGATGAAATTGATGTGAGACAAATTTACAGAAAGGTTTCTCGTCATTTAATAGAAGCTGATGATACTCATATATTAAGTCACGATGTTGCTGAAACTAGCTCCCCATTAATTTCTAATTTGAAAGAAGATCCTTTAGATAAAATTATTGAATCCATACCTGCGTATGAATCTAATATTGTTCATACTGTTTTAAGAACTGTACATCGAAAACCGCTTAATGTTCCTTCTCTTCGATCAGTATATAGAAAGGTGATTGTGTCTGAAATTGAAGAAGATAAAATCAATGTTGACATTCCAGTTCACTCAGTAATAAATGAAGAGGTTTTGATTGAAACTACAAACATATCTGTTCAAGAACACATACCTGATTTAATTTCTGAGCTTGCTGATTTATCTGAAGACGAAATCAATGTAAGACAAGTTTACAGAAAGTGCTCTTACCATTTAGAAGATCCTCTTGATACTGACGTATCTGATAATGGTGTTGTTAAACCAAATTTACCATTAGTTGTTGACATAAAGGATGATCGTTTTGATGAAAGTGTTGATTCTATACCGTCACCTGAGTCTGACATTGATTACGTTGTTTTAAGAACAGTACAACGCAAACCAATCAATGTCCCAACATTAAGACAAGTTTATCGTAAGGATTTTTTATCTGTTATTGAAGAAACTACAATGAATGTTGTCATTCCTGAACACACAGTCATAAATAATGAGGATGTAATTGAAACTACAAATATTTCGATCCAAGAACACATTCCTGATTTAATTTCTGAGATTGATGATTTATATGAAGATGAAATTGATGTGAGACAAATTTACAGAAAGGTTTCTCGTCATTTAATAGAAGCTGATGATACTCTTATATTAGGTCACGATGTTGCTGAAACTAGCTCCCCATTAATTTCTAATTTAAAAGAAGATCCTTTAGATAAAATTATTGAATCCATACCTGCGTATGAATCTAATATTGGTCATACTGTTTTAAGAACTGTACATCGAAAACCGCATAATGTTCCTTCTCTTCGATCTGTATATAGAAAGGTGATTGTGTCTGAAATTGAAGGAGATAAAATCAATGTTGACATTCCAGTTCACTCAGTAATAAATGAAGAGGTTTTGATTGAAACTACAAACATATCTGTTCAAGAACACATACCTGATTTAATTTCTGAGCTTGCTAATTTATCTGAAGACAAAATCAATGTAAGACAAGTTTACAGAAAGTGCTCTTACCATTTAGAAGAACCTCTTGATACTGACGTATCTGATAATGGTGTTGTTAAACCAAATTTACCATTAGTTGTTGACATAAAGGATGATCGTTTTGATGAAAGTGTTGATTCTATACCATCACCTGAGTCTGACATTGATTACGTTGTTTTAAGAACAGTACAACGCTCCCCTAGAACTAGCTCCCCATTAATTTCTTATTTGAAAGAAGATCCTTTAGATAAAATTATTGAATTGGAAGAAGATGTTGAATTGTCATGCCGTCGTGTTGTTCGGGTTTTAACGAAGGTTTCTATTGTTTCACCTTTGGTTATTCCTTATGATTTTGGAAGACAAGTTATTATTAACAGAACTATTGTATTACCTAATGAAATTGATTTAAGCTCTCAGTTTTCTAACAATTTAAAAGATAATAATAATCTTGAAGTTTTGGATTCTATTTCTAGCAATATGTCAGTAATTTTGACATTAAGAACAGTACAACGCAAACCAATCAATGTCCCAACATTGAGACAAGTTTATCGTAAGGATTTTGTATCTGTTATTGAAGAAACTACAATGAATGTTGTCATTCCTGAACACACAGTCATCAATGATGAGGATCTAATTGAAACTACAAATATTTCGATCCAAGAACACATTCCTGATTTAATTTCTGAGCTTGCTGATTTATCTGAAGACGAAATCAATGTAAGACAAGTTTACAGAAAGTGCTCTTACCATTTAGAAGATCCTCTTGATACTGACGTATCTGATAATGGTGTTGTTAAACCAAATTTACCATTAGTTGTTGACATAAAGGATGATCGTTTTGATGAAAGTGTTGATTCTATACCGTCACCTGAGTCTGACATTGATTACATTGTTTTAAGAACAGTACAACGCAAACCAATCAATGTCCCAACATTGAGACATGTTTATCGTAAGGATTTTGTATCTCTTATTGAAGAAACTACAATGAATGTTGTCATTCCTGAACACACAGTCATAAATAATGAGGATGTAATTGAAACTACAAATATTTCAATCCAAGAACACATTCCTGATTTATTTTCTGAGGTTGATGATTTATCTGAAGATGAAATTGATGTGAGACAAATTTACAGAAAGGTTTCTCGTCATTTAATAGAAGCTGATGATACTCATATATTAGGTCTCGATGTTGCTGAAACTAGCTCCCCATTAATTTCTAATTTGAAAGAAGATCTTTTAGATAAAATTATTGAATCCATACCTGCGTATGAATCTAATATTGGTCATACTGTTTTAAGAACTGTACATCGAAAACCGCTTAATGTTTCTTCTTTTCGATCAGTATATAGAAAGGTGATTGTGTCTGAAATTGAAGAAGATAAAATCAATGTTGACATTCCAGTCCATTCAGTAATAAATGAAGAGGTTTTGATTGAAACTACAAACATATCTGTTCAAGAACGCATACCTGATTTAATTTCTGAGCTTGCCGATTTATCTGAAGACGAAATCAATGTAAGACAAGTTTACAGAAAGTGCTCTTACCATTTAGAAGAACCTCTTGATACTGACGTATCTGATAATGGTGTTGTTAAACCAAATTTACCATTAGTTGTTGACATAAAGGATGATCGTTTTGATGAAAGTGTTGATTCTATACCGTCACCTGAGTCTGACATTAATTACGTTGTTTTAAGAACAGTACAACGCAAATTAATCAATGTCCCAACATTAAGACAAGTTTATCGTAAGGATTTTGTATCTGTTATTGAAGAAACTACAATGAATGTTGTGATTCCTGAACACACAGTCATAAATAATGAGGATGTAATTGAAACTACAAATATTTCAATCCAAGAACACATTCCTGATTTAATTTCTGAGGTTGATGATTTATCTGAAGATGAAATTGATGTGAGACAAATTTACAGAAAGGTTTCTCGTCATTTAATAGAAGCTGATGATACTCATATATTAGGTCACGATGTTGCTGAAACTAGCTCCCCATTAATTTCTAATTTGAAAGAAGATCCTTTAGATAAATTTATTGAATCCATACCTGCGTATGAATCTAATATTGGTCATACTGTTTTAAGAACTGTATATCGAAAACCGCTTAATGTTCCTTCTCTTCGATCAGTATATAGAAAGGTGATTGTGTCTGAAATTGAAGAAGATAAAATCAATGTTGACATTCCAGTCCATTCAGTAATAAATGAAGAGGTTTTGATTGAAACTACAAACATATCTGTTCAAGAACGCATACCTAATTTAATTTCTGAGCTTGCCGATTTATCTGAAGACGAAATCAATGTAAGACAAGTTTACAGAAAGTGCTCTTACCATTTAGAAGAACCTCTTGATACTGACGTATCTGATAATGGTGTTGTTAAACCAAATTTACCATTAGTTGTTGACATAAAGGATGATCGTTTTGATGAAAGTGTTGATTCTATACCGTCACCTGAGTCCGACATTAATTACGTTGTTTTAAGAACAGTACAACGCAAATTAATCAATGTCCCAACATTAAGACAAGTTTATCGTAAGGATTTTGTATCTGTTATTGAAGAAACTACAATGAATGTTGTGATTCCTGAACACACAGTCATAAATAATGAGGATGTAATTGAAACTACAAATATTTCGATCCAAGAACACATTCCTGATTTAATTTCTGAGGTTGATGATTTATCTGAAGATGAAATTGATGTGAGACAAATTTACAGAAAGGTTTCTCGTCATTTAATAGAAGCTGATGATACTCATATATTAGGTCACGATGTTGCTGAAACTAGCTCCCCATTAATTTCTAATTTGAAAGAAGATCCTTTAGATAAATTTATTGAATCCATACCTGCGTATGAATCTAATATTGGTCATACTGTTTTAAGAACTGTATATCGAAAACCGCTTAATGTTCCTTCTCTTCGATCAGTATATAGAAAGGTGATTGTGTCTGAAATTGAAGAAGATAAAATCAATGTTGACATTCCAGTTCACTCAGTAATAAATGAAGAGGTTTTGATTGAAACTACAAACATATCTGTTCAAGAACACATACCTGATTTAATTTCTGAGCTTGCTAATTTATCTGAAGACGAAATCAATGTAAGACAAGTTTACAGAAAGTGCTCTTACCATTTAGAAGAACCTCTTGATACTGACGTATCTGATAATGGGGTTGTTAAACCAAATTTACCATTAGTTGTTGACATAAAGGATGATCGTTTTGATGAAAGTGTTGATTTTTTACCGTCACCTGATGCTGACAATGATTACGTTGTTTTAAGAACAGTACAACGCAAACCAATCAATGTCCCAACATTAAGACAAGTTTATCGTAAGGATTTTGTATCTGTTATTGAAGAAACTACAATGAATGTTGTCATTCCTGAACACACAGTCATAAATAATGAGGATGTAATTGAAACTACAAATATTTCGATCCAAGAACACATTCCTGATTTAATTTCTGAGGTTGATGATTTATCTGAAGATGAAATTGATGTGAGACAAATTTACAGAAAGGTTTCTCGTCATTTAATAGAAGCTGATGATACTCATATATTAGGTCACGATGTTGCTGAAACTAGCTCCCCATTAATTTCTTATTTGAAAGAAGATCCTTTAGATAAAATTATTGAATTGGAAGAAGATGTTGAATTGTCATGCCGTCGTGTTGTTCGGGTTTTAACGAAGGTTTCTATTGTTTCACCTTTGGTTATTCCTTATGATTTTGGAAGACAAGTTATTATTAACAGAACTATTGTATTACCTAATGAAATTGATTTAAGCTCTCAGTTTTCTAACAATTTAAAAGATAATAATAATCTTGAAGTTTTGGATTCTATTTCTAGCAATATGTCAGTAATTTTGACATTAAGAACAGTACAACGCAAACCAATCAATGTCCCAACATTGAGACAAGTTTATCGTAAGGATTTTGTATCTGTTATTGGAGAAACTGCAATGAATGTTGTCATTCCTGAACACACAGTCATAAATGATGAGGATGTAATTGAAACTGCAAATATTTCGATCCAAGAACACATTCCTGATTTAATTTCTGAGGTTGATGATTTATCTGAAGATGAAATTGATGTGAGACAAATTTACAGAAAGGTTTCTCGTCATTTAATAGAAGCTGATGATACTCATATATTAGGTCACGATGTTGCTGAAACTAGCTCCCTATTAATTTCTAATTTGAAAGAAGATCCTTTAGATAAAATTGTTGAATCCATACCTGTGTATGAATCTAATATTGGTCATACTGTTTTAAGAACTGTACATCGAAAACCGCTTAATGTTCCTTCTCTTCGATCAGTATATAGAAAGGTGATTGTGTCTGAAATTGAAGAAGATAAAATCAATGTTGACATTTCAGTTCACTCAGTAATAAATGAAGAGGTTTTGATTGAAACTACAAACATATCTGTTCAAGAACACATACCTGATTTAATTTCTGAGCTTGCTAATTTATCTGAAGACGAAATCAATGTAAGACAAGTTTACAGAAAGTGCTCTTACCATTTAGAAGAACCTCTTGATACTGACGTATCTGATAATGGTGTTGTTAAACCAAATTTACCATTAGTTGTTGACATAAAGGATGATCGTTTTGACGAAAGTGTTGATTCTATACCGTCACCTGAGTCTGACATTGATTACGTTGTTTTAAGAACAGTACAACGCAAACCAATCAATGTCCCAACGTTGAGACAAGTTTATCGTAAGGATTTTGTATGTCTTATTGAAGAAACTACTATGAATGTTGTGTTTCCTGAACACACAGTCATAAATGATGAGGGTATTATTGAAACTACAAATATTTCGATCCAAGAACACATTCCTGATTTAATTTCTGAGGTTGATGATTTATCTGAAGATGATATTAATGTGAGACAAATTTACAGAAATGTTACTCGTCATTTTGTTGAACCTGATGTTACTCATTCATTTGATTTGGACTTGGTAAAGCCAAGTTCACTTTTTAATACTGAGGTGAAGGACGTTTTAGAAATATCGTCCTCTGGTTTGCTTTCTTTTTCGATGCCTGATTCGTGTCTTTCTATTTTCCCTTTTGAACCGTCAACTTTAAATAATCATTATGGTATGGTTGATGAAGAGGTTTTTTGTAGAAAAGTTTTTCGTCAGGCCGAGTATTTTGAAAATGATTTTGTTGAAGTTATGCCTCTTTTTGGTGTTGATTATGTCGGCAAGGTATCTCGATTACCTACTATATCCGAAATCGATGAGGATTCCCTTTCGATTTGTAGTTCTCATGACCATGATGATATTCTTATAGAAATATTTAGTAGGAAAGTTGTTCGTGTTGTTAGTAAATCTAGTTATAGTGATAATTATCCTGTTCCGTTGGGTCCTCAAATTACCATGAAAAAACAGCGTTTTAAAACTGTTATCGTTCGTCGCGTTTTTCATACTGTTAAAACTGTAATTGTTCGAAAGGAGCTCGAGGATTATTACCCAGATAGTACCGATAAAAGTTCATTTATTTCAAGTTGCTCTTCTGATAATTATTTAATTAAAAATGATGTATTATCAACTGATGGTAAATATTATTCTAAAGCGATGGATTTTGGAAATAGTGATTATCAAATGTCATTTGGTTTCTTGAATGAGCCCTCATTTATAATTTTGGATTCTTTCACTAAAACTAAAAGTAATATAATGGTTAGTGGCTTTTCTCACGAAAAGAACATTCGAGACAGTTTATCATCATCTTTACAATTGGACTCAGAAATGAATTTTGATAATAATTTTGTTGAAAAATGTCCAATAAAATCTTATGATACCGATACATGCGTTAAGAAAACATTTGATGTTAAAATGTCAGATGATATATTATTATCGTGTAAATTTATTGACAATAGTTCAGTTAAAGATATATTGGTAAACAATCTAAATAAATCAAATCCAATTGAAACAGTGTACGTACAAGATCTTAATGAGATCTCAGCTAAACCTTTTATTGGTGTTTCAGGAAATCCAGAAGTTCTTTTTAATGCTTTAAATTCATTTTCTATCTTCATTCAATGTATGAACATTAAGTTAAAAAGTTTCTTAAGTCTTACTCCTGCATACGATTTTTTAACTGTTGTTAAAGAGGAACACAAGGTATATTTTAGTTTTACTTGTGAACACGATTTTTATTTACAATAAAAATCGTGTTTTTACGAGAATTAATTTTATATTTTACTCAAAATATTTTGTAACTTATGTAGTTCAATATGTAATGTATTCAATATGTAATGACTTGTTTAGACAATATGTAATGACTTGTATAGACAATATGTAATGCCTTGTTTAGACAATATGTAATGACTTGTTTAGACAATTTGTAAAGACTTGTTAAGACAATTTGTAACGACTTGATAAGACAATATGTATAACGGTAACGGTTTCAAAGTTTGACTGTTTTTAACACTCTCTTGTTTTTATTATCTTTCAGTTTTTGTTTTTTTTTAAATATTTTTATTTAACTTTCATTATTTTATTTCAAACAGGGCGTCTAACATACCATTTTTATTTTGCCTAAAATGCTATGGGAAAAGAATAAAGAAGATTACTTTTACATAGAACTAGGGTCATGGAGAGGTTAACATTGTTCTCATGCAGTAATCTTTTTTGGGCCCTTCCTCCCATTATCCATTAACAATTAAAAAACTTATATTTAATATCTTTTAAGATACAATTCAAATAAAAAAGTTTTAGAAAAAATTAAATTTGCACACTAGAGTTTATAAAAGAAATAAATTTTGTTAAATAAATAAGCTTTGTTAAGGTTGTTTGCGTGCCTTTTTCCTAGTTAAATTACGGATTACTGCATCAAAGCCTATATGTTTTGCAATGTCAAACTTAATGCTTTACCTAGCAAGTTCGTTAAGGTGATTCTGGTTCGGTTTGGAATAGGGACCTTAGATTATTTATTAAGTCTAAGTTTGCTGAAAATTCAATCTGCTCGTGCTACTGCTTCTAGTGTTGTAAGGAATATTCTCAAACTGTCACTGAGGTTTGGAAATATACCTTATAATTTGCACTTTGCTATAGCATTTAACATTTCCAGTGCACCTTAATGTTTTGTACCAAAATTGGCATTGTGAATTATATTATGTGTTTCATTTCTTGCATTAGGTGCACTAACAATGTTTGTAGAATATTTCTGTGCAAAATAAACTGCTTTATGTATTAATTCCTCGGTAATTCCAAAGAAAGCTGAAGGTTTAAGAAATATGTTTTGCTGCGCTAAAACCAACTGTAAGTCCTCCAATAACATTAATACTAAAAAATTTGTTTTCGGAATCGGGATAACAAGCGAGGTTCGTCTCTTGTACTCATTTCATTCACATTTTTATCGTAGAAATAATTTCAAAATTGTTTCTAAACAAATTTATTTAGATGGTTAAATTTATTTAGAGGTTAGATGTAACAAGTTTACCTTGATTAATCAAGTTTGTCTTATTTCTATACAAAGGTTAGATGTAATAAGTTTAGTTTCATTTCACATTGCTTTCAAACTGTCACGTTTAGCTACTAGTTGTAAAATTGTTTTCTAACCATAGTTACAACAGGATTTAAAGCTTGGAAATAAACAAAAAAAGTTACAAATTTAAAAAGCATAACATTTCAAAAAGTTTGAAAATGAAATAATTCAAAATTGCGTTCTAAATTGATATATATCATTGTTAATAATGTTATTGCTAGTGTTATTAAAATCTAAGGTGTAATTGAAGTAGGGGAAAGTGGGGCACCATGATAAATAATTGTGGAGGCATCTTAAAAATCGTGACAATTAATTTCATATGATGAAACAGTTACTACTATTGATTTTGACTAAAAAATTATATAATTTGATATTATTAGGCCTTTAAATGTTCTAATTTTGTGTTTTTTTGTTGACAAAGCAATTTATTAGATTTTAAAGTTCCTTTGTTTTAAGGTATGTTATTCAATCTATCTATCAGTAAACAACATTATTTTGTAAGCTAAAACCCAAAGGCTCTTTACTTCATTAAACGAAACTATTGAAAAAACAAGTTGCCATAAAATAAGGCGATTGTTTTCTGATAGCAAGAATACTGTAGCTTGATACAGCATTTTTGGGGGGCCCTAAAACTGTAGAATAGTACTCCGTTGTGTCATAAACAATTCTAAATATTATTTTTTGTAATATTTACAGTTAATTTTTAGGAGATTTATAAAAAAATAAACAAAGGAGATCCAATTTTGGTACAAAGTATTGACGCTTAAAAATGAAATTTAAAACGACATATAATCTGGATTTCTGAAATGTAATATGAAACATTGGATGCATTATTTGGGTTCTAATCATTAATTTGTTTGTCTTTCAAGTAAAAATATACCTTTTCTCTGTGTTTTATACTTTTTATTTACTTTTTTAATGATGCTCATAGTTTGTAGCATGGTACCTCATGGGTGTACCTTGCTACAAAGTTCTAATTTTACTTTTAATAGTCTCACAAGTTTAATTTGTTATATTTTGATAATTGATAAATTTAATTTTGTAGTTATAAATTTATTCAATAAATTAAACCATTTGCCTAAAAAAAGGCGTATTAAAAAATTAGAAAGCAAAAACCAAAATTGTATCATGGTGCCCTACTCTCCCCTATGTCATTGCCTATTCATGGCCGTATATCTTACATTTTTGAGGGGAATATTAAGAGGCCGATTTTTATATACATTTATATCAATGTATATATATTTATCTATAATATATATCTAAACCTTATACAGAAAGTTTAAACGCACTTGTTTTTATAAGACTTTTTCGTCTTCGGTGATCGGTTAACGTCAACAAAGGCTTTCTTACACTATAATAGCTTACTTATTGTCGTTCGACTGTTTTATCTACCAGTGAACTTTTGGTTTCTCCATTTAAAGCTTATACTCTTGCTTTTGCGTTGCATTTGCTTAGCGTGTAAAGTATGTTTTCATCGAGTGCTGTCAGTTTTTTCGGACGCCCAATACGAGGTTTTTGATTGACACTACCAGTTGATAAGTAGTTTTGTATTGTTGTACGAACGCTGAGTTCAGAAATATTTAAGCGTCTGCTAATTTCTCTATTGCTCATTTTTATTTTATGAAAATGAGCAATAAAATTCGATGAAACAACTTTTTAACCCATGAAAATATGATATTTTGACAAGGTTTAATCAGTTGAAAATTTCTAAATTTCAAGTCAAATCATAAAGTTGCGGTTTTTATTCAAAATGAAATAAGAATAGGTATCCAAATGAAATATCCTAGCAACAATAAAATATCGCTAACAAGCTGTTGAGTGATAAAAATGCAAAAGACTTTTTTGCATTTTTATTACTAAAAATTCTCTAAATAAACAAGTGTTTTCTCATCAAAATGCGTTTAAACTTTATTTGAAAGGAGTTATTTACTCCGTTAATTTTCTCATCATCCTCCACTATTATAATATCCTTAAAAATTTTTTTTTCTAGATTATAGCCATAGTATAAATAAACGTAAAAATACAGAGTACATCTCATCAATTTATCGGATTGTTATTTCTTAAAAGTATTTATATGGGTTAATAAAACAAGTGCGTTAGAGCTTTCTGCACAATGTGTATAATCATCTATATTTTAACGCTATGAAAAAAATGTTAAAAGGTAGTTCAAAGAAATCAAATAATTGGTAAATTATATTAAACTATATAAACAAATGCTATACAACTGGCATATTGGCAATTTTGATTTCATTTTTTTCTTTACCTCTTTTTAAATAATTTTACTATTATAAATCAAATCCTTCGATAGTTTTTGTTGTTAAAAAATACATTGAAAATACAATTTTGTTGAAAACATATAACCTAACTTTCATGATTTTCACAAATATATTTGCTTTTTGGTGCGTATAAATCTAACAGATATGTTGATGATTTCATGACTGGAATTGATAGAAATTTCATTCTCCACTAGCAGTAAGCAACCCGTAATACGGGTTAAAAATAACTAAACCATTAGTAACAACAAAAATTACTACATTATCTAAAAAAATATATCTAAATACAAATTTATCTGTAAATAATTTCACAGATAAATTTGTATTTAAAGTTCGGCTCCCTATTAGCAATGTCATTGCTTATAGTTATAATTATATTATAAAACAGCAAACAACGCGTAAAATATGTTTATACACGGTCATTATCAATAGTGTTAAGAAGTACGCAAGAGCTCCGTACTTATTCAGGTTTTATCTCGCTTTATTAATTCTTATTTAAGTGAGACTAAGACAGTGTTTCCAAGGCACCGTGTTAAAAAGAAGACAATAATTAACATAAGAGAATTACTGTTAAATATGACAAAAACTAATTTTTTACTAATTATAAATCATATCCTTCGATAGTTTTTGTTGTTAAAAAATACATTGAGAACAATTTTGTTGAAAACATATAACCTAACTTTCATGATTTTCACAAATATATTTGCTTTTTGGTGCGTATAAATGTAACAGATATGTTGATGATTTCATGACTGGAATTGATAGAAATTTCATTCTCCATTAAATCCTAAATAGCAAATACACTACATACAAATTCTCCAGTTGTTTGGGTGGCTCAAACCACGTAACAAGAGAGATAGATAAGAGTTTTTTCAAGATCAATGTCTCCAGCTTTTAAATATACTTTTGCAGTTTTCACATTTAAATTTTTTTGAAAATTTTTTGCAACATAGCCTGCTATAGTTATTGACCTTTCTTAACTATTAAAATAAAAACTTGCCGAAATTTCTTCGTTTCAAACAGTTTGTCAACTGTTTTCTTCATCAAGTATTGTCAAGGAAGGATGAATATCTGGTAATAGATTTTCTTCCCAGAAGTTTATATGCTTCTTAATTAAAGAATGACACAACAAAATTCTTTATGAATTTAAAACTTCTCTTAAATTTACTTCCCCCACTCATTTGCTTGTATTGTGAGAAATGTCTCTCAATTGGGTCACTTTATAAACAAGCTGTCATCGCATTATATCCATCATTCAGAAGCTCCTCGACAAGAAGTGCTTGAGCACGTAAGGTAACTACAAATGCTCATGATCAATCCAATCAGCCATCCAATCAGCTTGGATGGCTGATCAATCCAAT